TGGCAATGAAGATGAGGATAACAGTCCGAATAATGTAAATAATGCATTTAAATAATACCTCATCTCAGAAATATAGAGGCCAAAACGTTGTGAATATGGCAATGAATCAGTCCGAATAATGTAAATAATGCATTTAATCATAATACCTCATCTCAGAAATATAGAGGCCAAAACGTTGTGAATATGGCAATGAAGATGAGGATAACAGTCCGAATAATGTAAATAATGCAAGTAATCATAATACCTCATCTCAGAAATATAGAGGCCAAAACGTTGTGAATATGGCAGTGAAGATGAGGATAACAGTCCGAATAATGTAAATAATGCATTTAATCATAATACCTCATCTCAGAAATATAGAGGCCAAAACGTTGTGAATATGGCAATGAAGATGAGGATAACAGTCCGAATAATCTCTAAATAATGCATTTAATCATAATACCTCATCTCAGAAATATAGAGGCCAAAACGTTGTGAATATGGCAATGAAGATGAGGATAACAGTCCGAATAATCTAAATAATGCATTTAATCATAATACCTCATCTCAGAAATATAGAGGCCAAAACGTTGTGAATATGGCAATGAAGATGAGGATAACAGTCCGAATAATCTAAATAATGATTTAATCATAATACCTCATCTCAGAAATATAGAGGCCAAAACGTTGTGAATATGGCAATGAAGATGAGGATAACAGTCGAATAATGCTTATAATACCTCATCTCAGAAATATAGAGGCCAAAAACGTTGTGAATATGGCAATGAAGATGAGGGATAACAGTCCGAATAATGTAAATAATGCATTTAATCATAATACCTCATCTCAGAAATATAGAGGCCAAAACGTTGTGAATATGGCAATGAAGATGAGGATAACAGTCCGAATAATCTAAATAATGCATTTAATCATAATACCTCATCTCAGAAAATATAGAGGCCAAAACGTTGTGAATATGGCAATGAAGATGGGGATAACAGTCCGAATAATGTAAATAATGCATTTAATCATAATACCTCATCTCAGAAATATAGAGGCCAAAACGTTGTGAATATGGCAATGAAGATGAGGATAACAGTCCGAATAATCTAAATAATGCATTTAATCATAATACCTCATCTCAGAAATATAGAGGCCAAAACGTTGTGAATATGGCAATGAAGATGAGGATAACAGTCCGAATAATCTAAATAATGCATTTAATCATAATACCTCATCTCAGAAATATAGAGGCCAAAACGTTGTGAATATGGCAATGAAGATGAGGATAACAGTCCGAATAATCTAAATAATGCATTTAATCATAATACCTCATCTGAGAGATATAGAGGCCAAAACGTTGTGAATATGGCAATGAAGATGAGGATAACAGTCCGAATAATGTAAATAATGCAAGTAATCATAATAAGAGATATAGACAGATAGAGGGGGAGTACTTAAGGAGAATACATAAACGATGTATAAAAGATGTGTACAGAAAATAGAGTAAAAAGAGAAGTGATAGAAAAAATACAAAGAGTGCTGGGGAAAGAGAAAGAGAAAGAAAAAAAAGGAGGGACGGAGAAAGATAGAAAGAGAGAATAAAAGAAAGAAAAAAAGAAAGTGAGTTGAAAGTGTGTGTGTGTGCGTGACAGAGAGAAATAATGGGAGAAAAAGAGAAAGGTCGAGGGTAAAAATATAAAAGTAGAGAGAGAGAAAGAAAGAGAGAGAGAGAGAGAGAAAAGAAAAGAGAGAGAGAGAGAAAAGAAAAGAGAGAGAGAAAAGAAAAGAGAGAGAGAAAAGGAAAAAGAGACAGTTAAAAAGGATGAGAGAGAAAAGTAAAAAAAGAGCAAAAACGAAAGAAAGAGCGAAAGTGTAGAATATAAGGCGAAAGGAAATGAAACAGAAAAAGGAGAAAGGGCGAAAGAGCAAGAGAGAGAGAGAGAGAGAGAGAGGGAGAGAGAGAGAGACAGAAAAAAATGGAGGTCGAAAAAAAGAGAGAAGAAAAAAGGAACAAAGAGAAAATGAGAAATTGAGAGAGAGAAAGCGGGAAGCGACCAAAAACAAACAAAGAAGAAAAGAAGAGGAAAAAAAGAGAAAGCTTGAATAAAAACATGAAAAGAAAATAGATAGAATTTATTTATTTTTTGTTACGTCATGAAAAAAACTTTGATCATAATGACAGCGAGGAAGTGTCGAAAAACAGAATTTGTTGCGTTTTTTTTTAAATAAAATGGCAAACGTGTGAAAATGTTTAATTGGGCTCCTCTCAGAGACATCCATCAGGAAAATTGAATGATAAATGTTTATTTTATTTATGCCTTTAAATTCCTTGAGGAGTATAGGACCGCAATATATCGTTGGGTTTTCTATAAAAGCCAGTTTTGTTGTTAGTCTACTGCAAAAACCCAAATCTGGAGGATCAGGTTTTGAATTCAAAGTTGTCCTTCTCCTAGACCAGTTAGCATCCGATCTGTCCAGCTATTTACCCATAGCTGGGGGAAAGAAATAGAGGATTCATACCTTTCCCAAGAATATTAGCACGTAAGTGTATATAATAGATTCGACTAGAATTCGAACTCGGCTCTTCAATTCCTCAATCCGAGCCGCTTTCCACCGGGCCTCCTCAAGTTTTCGCTTATTAATCTTAATGAAATACAAGGCCCATAAGCCACTGCGTGTAGTTGTATATGCGTAAGAATGGGGAAAAAAAAGTTTAGTTCTTGTTATGAGGCAGGAAATACACCTTATTACTTACATCGTAATTATTCGGATAAGCTCATTAAAATGGTATCTTGACATTTTGAATTTAAGCGCAGTACTAGACTAGCAACGGGGTATCACCAATTTACAGGTGAGCTCGCTAGATGTAGTCGTAAGTTCTATGATAACGGATTCTTTTCTCGCACTTCTCGCTTGTGGAAATCATTTCCGGCTTCATGCTTCCCAACCAAAATTAAATGCAATGTCAATCGCTATCTGCGATGTTTTTGTTACTAACTCTTCCTAAGCCAGTAACTCCTTGTGTCTGTGTGGCTTTTGCTTTCCAGTCAAATTTAATCTACCAAATTTAAATGCAATGTCAATTGCTATATTTGCTGTCCTCCTGATTATTTTGTCCTCTTCCTCATCATTATTAATATTTCTCTTCCTAATTCTTCCACATCCATTTTGTCTTATTGGCTTTACTGCCTTGCATAGGATGATACCGATTCAAAAAAAAATCTAGGCTTGAGGACATCAAGATTTTGTTATTTAAAGAGTTTAGGGAAGACGTTAGTAGTATAGAGACGGAGTAGTTTCTAGAAGGTACCAGGAATCAATTTCTAAAAAAGGGACAAGCAGAGGACGTCTACTGTTGGTCAAAATACCATGGAGAAGTTTGCAAACCGGACGATAAGCATACCTCTATAATAATGGGGGAAGAAAATAAAAACGGAATAAGCTTTCATAGTTCAGGACGACACTTCAGAAGTACAGAGCTGAAAAAACCGGGAACCCAATCCTAGAGAAGACACAAAAGATAAAGATCTGCCGTTGTGCAAAAGACCGGGGAGGATTGTGAACCGGGCGATAACCAAACCTGTCTAAAATTGGAGTGGAGCAGAAAATAATAATAGAATAAGCTTTCATAGTTCAGGCGGCGATTCAGAAGTACAGCGTTGATGGAACTGGGGACCCAATGCTAGAGAAGAAAAAAAGAGATAAACCCGTACTGTTATTCAAAAGACCGGGGAGGAGTGTGAACCGGACGATAAGCAAGCCTGTCTAATATTGGGGGGTGAAAATAATAACAGAATGAACTTTCATAGTTCAGGCGGAGACTTCGGAAGTACAGACCTGAAGGAAGCGGGGACCAAATCCTAGAGAATAAAGAAGAGATAAACCTCTACTGTTGTTCAAAAGACCCGGGAGAAGTGTGAACCGGACGATAAGTGAGCCTGTCTAATAGTGGGTGGGGGGTGGAGAAAACACTAACAGAAAAATATTTCATACTTCAAGGGGCAAATTTAGAAGTACAGACCTGTAAGAACCGGGACCAAATCCTAGAGAATAAACAGAAGATAAACCTCAACTGTTGTGCAAATGACCGGGGAGCCGTGTGAACCGGACGATAAGCAAGGCTGTCTAATATTAGTGGGTGAAAATAATAACAAAATAAACTTTCATAGTTCAGGCGGTGACTTCAGACATACTGAGCTGAAGGAACCGGGGACACAGTCTGAGAGAATATACAAGACATAAACATCTACGGTTGTTAAAAAAACCCGGGAAGAGAGTGAACCGGGAAGATAGGGAAGTCTGTCTAATATTGGGGGAGAAAATAATAACAGAATAAGTTTTCATAGTTCAAGCGGACACTCGGACGGACTGAGCTGATGGACCGGGGAGCCAATCCTAGATAATAAACAAGAGATAAACCTGTACTGTTGTTCAAAAGACATAGGAGGAATGGTCGATATTCAAGAATGTCTAATATTAGTGGGTGAAAATAATAACAAAATAAGTTTTCAGGCGGAGACTTCGGACGTACAGAGCAGAAAAAACCGGGGACCCAATTTCTAGAGAATAAACAAGAGATAAACCTGTACTGTTGTTCAAAAGACATAGGAGGAATGGTCGATATTCAAGAATATCTAATATTAGTGGGTGAAAATAATAAAAAAAATAAGTTTTCAGGCGGAGACTTCGGACGTACAGAGCAGAAAAAACCGGGGACCCAATTTCTAGAGAATAAACAAGAGATAAACCTGTACTGTTGTTCAAAAAGACATAGGAGGAATGGTCGATATTCAAGAATATCTAATATTAGTGGGTGAAAATAATAACAAAATAAGTTTTCAGGCGGAGACTTCGGACGTACAGAGCAGAAAAAACCGGGGACCCAATTTCTAGAGAATAAACAAGAGATAAACCTGTACTGTTGTTCAAAAGACATAGGAGGAATGGTCGATATTCAAGAATATCTAATATTAGTGGGTGAAAATAATAACAAAATAAGTTTTCAGGCGGAGACTTCGGACGTACAGAGCAGAAAAAACCGGGGACCCAATTTCTAGAGAATAAACAAGAGATAAACCTGTACTGTTGTTCAAAAAGACATAGGAGGAATGGTCGATATTCAAGAATGTCTAATATTAGTGGGTGAAAATAATAACAAAATAAGTTTCAGGCGGAGACTTCGGACGTACAGAGCAGAAAAAACCAGGGACCCAATTTCTAGAGAATAAACAAGAGATAAACCTGTACTGTTGTTCAAAAAGACATAGGAGGAATGGTCGATATTCAAGAATGTCTAATATTAGTGGGTGAAAATAATAACAAAATAAGTTTTCAGGCGGAGACTTCGGACGTACAGAGCAGAAAAAACCGGGGACCCAATTTCTAGAGAATAAACAAAGAGATAAACCTGTACTGTTGTTCAAAAAACAACATAGGAGGAATGGTCGATATTCAAGAATGTCTAATATTAGTGGGTGAAAATAATAACAAAATAAGTTTTCAGGCGGAGACTTCGGACGTACAGAGCAGAAAAAAACAGGGACCCAATTTCTAGAGAATAAACAAGAGATAAACCTCTACTGTTGTTCAAAAAGACATAGGAGGAATGGTCGATATTCAAGAATGTCTAATATTAGTGGGTGAAAATAATAACAAAATAAGTTTTCAGGCGGAGACTTCGGACGTACAGAGCAGAAAAAAAAACGGGGACCCAATTTCTAGAGAATAAACAAGAGATAAACCTCTACTGTTGTTCAAAAGACATAGGAGGAATGGTCGATATTCAAGAATGTCTAATATTAGAGGGTGAAAATAATAACAAAATAAGTTTTCAGGCGGAGACTTCGGACGTACAGAGCAGAAAAAACCGGGGACCCAATTTCTAGAGAATAAACAAGAGATAAACCTCACTGTTGTTCAAAAGACATAGGAGGAATGGTCGATATTCAAGAATGTCTAATATTAGGGGTGAAAATAATAACAAAATAAGTTTTCAGGCGGAGACTTCGGACGTACAGAGCAGAAAAACCGGGGACCCAATTTCTAGAGAATAAACAAGAGATAAACCTGTACTGTTGTTCAAAAGACATAGGAGGAATGGTCGATATTCAAGAATGTCTAATATTAGTGGGTGAAAATAATAACAAAATAAGTTTTCAGGCGGAGACTTCGGACGTACAGAGCAGAAAAAACCAGGGACCCAATTTCTAGAGAATAAAACAAGAGATAAACCTCTACTGTTGTTCAAAAGACATAAGAGGAATGGTCGATATTCAAGAATGTCTAATGTTAGGGGGTGAAAATAATAACAAAATAAGTTTTCAGGCGGAGACTTCGGACGTACAGAGCAGAAAAAACCGGGGACCCAATTTCTAGAGAATAAACAAGAGATAAACCTGTACTGTTGTTCAAAAGACATAGGAGGAATGGTCGATATTCAAGAATGTCTAATATTAGGGGTGAAAATAATAACAAAATAAGTTTTCAGGCGGAGACTTCGGACGTACAGAGCAGAAAAAACCAGGGACCCAATTTCTAGAGAATAAACAAGAGATAAACCTGTACTGTTGTTCAAAAGACATAAGAGGAATGGTCGATATTCAAGAATGTCTAATGTTAGGGGTGAAAATAATAACAAAATAAGTTTTCAGGCGGAGACTTCGGACGTACAGAGCAGAAAAAAACCGGGGACCCAATTTCTAGAGAATAAACAAGAGATAAACCTGTACTGTTGTTCAAAAGACATAGGAGGAATGGTCGATATTCAAGAATGTCTAATATTAGTGGGTGAAAATAATAACAAAATAAGTTTTCAGGCGGAGACTTCGGACGTACAGAGCAAAAAAAACCAGGGACCCAATTTCTAGAGAATAAACAAGAGATAAACCTGTACTGTTGTTCAAAAGACATAGGAGGAATGGTCGATATTCAAGAATGTCTAATATTAGGGGGTGAAAATAATAACAAAATAAGTTTTCAGGCGGAGACTTCGGACGTACAGAGCAGAAAAAACCGGGGACCCAATTTCTAGAGAATAAACAAGAGATAAACCTGTACTGTTGTTCAAAAGACATAGGAGGAATGGTCGATATTCAAGAATGTCTAATGTTAGGGGGTGAAAATAATAACAAAATAAGTTTTCAGGCGGAGACTTCGGACGTACAGAGCAGAAAAAACCGGGGACCCAATTTCTAGAGAATAAACAAGAGATAAACCTGTACTGTTGTTCAAAAGACATAGGAGGAATGGTCGATATTGAAGAATGTCTAATATTAGGGGGTGAAAATAATAACAAAATAAGTTTTCAGGCGGAGACTTCGGACGTACAGAGCAGAAAAAAAAAAGACGGGGACCCAATTTCTAGAGAATAAACAAGAGAGATAAACCTGTACTGTTGTTCAAAAGACATAGGAGGAATGGTCGATATTCAAGAATGTCTAATATTAGTGGGTGAAAATAATAACAAAATAAGTTTTCAGGCGGAGACTTCGGACGTACAGAGCAGAAAAAACCGGGGAC